CAGATTTTCGAGGACAACTTATTGCTTGCAATCAATTTATTCACATGCCGATCAAACATGCTTTATTCTGTTTTACATCCTCTTGTTGTAAACACAGTTTTCCATATTTCAGGGGTGTTTTTGTAGCATTATTTCTATAACATGCGTTTGGAGTTAATTTTATGAATAAATATTTAGTGATTGACACGTATGTTACTTCAACCCTATTGTATGATTCCCTCGGAAACTAATACAGTTAGATGGAGAGAGAATTCAGCAAGTGAATCCTTATTCATTGGACCGAAATGCTGAAAAGTTGTAATAAAAATTACGCATTGGACTAGTACGCTGTGCTTCAAACGTCATTTTGTTGTCACTGTATGGAATTAAACTCTACCCACAATTTCCAAAGTGTACTGCTAAATCAATGATTGCTTCTCACTTCTTAGAAGTACATTCTCCTCGATTTTATTCTCCATGTTGTTAAGCATATCAAACCAATGGAATATTCTAGTGTCTGGATGGAAATAGATAAAAATTTGATGACTCAGTTTAATTTACTTTTAAGGCATCAACCTAGTAAACACTTTCCATGACGCATACAAAATTTATATTTTCAAGATGACAGAAAAACGTATAGCTTGATGAATAAAGTAGTTTCACTAGTATGTAAAATCAAAATCCGAATGAATTATCAACGTACAATTTTTTTAAAATGAAATCCACCACCTAGTGTTAACAGCTTTCAGATTATATGTCAGAGTCAGTATGACCACAAGAATGCTAACACCAGCAACTGTTTTTTTCCAGTAAACTGTTTAGTTTTCCAAATAATTCACGTGTCAATTCTCTAACTAGTTACACCATTATTCACACGATTTCCATTATATCAAGAAGAATTTTTAATAGGATGAATTCAAATTAATGGACATAATGCATGCTTATTTGTAATGCGAGCAAACCAAAGGAAATCCTATTGCCTTGGGACTGCTAGTATGATAATAAAATTAAAATAACAGTGAAGCTAATTGCTTTCGTTTTAACTGATTTACTAACAGAAGGTTGGGAGTAATATAGAACAACGCATACTATAATGAAAACTGGTACGAAGATAAATTCTATGTAAACGGGATATATTGGAATTGTAGCGGTGGATAATTTTCCAGAATCATTAACCATAGCACTCGACATCGGATGCTGACTCTCACTGATTAAGGCGACTTTTTTAGCTGAAGCGTTGCAGTCAAGTATCCATGCCTCTTACGTTCATTCGTGCGTGCACGATCTCTAGCTAGTTAAGCAATTTTCGTACTATGATTTTTGCCCGAAAATAGGCTACGAATTTTGGGCGATCGACTTGATGTTTTGATTTGTGTTTGGTCTACGAAGAAGAAGTACTATAGAAGTTGTGGGTATTATATCTTGCGTTAGTGTACTTCGTATTAACCGTGAAGATCAACACACTCAGCAAACAAATTGGTGAACTCTACTGCGAACTTCATCTTTGGAAAACACTTAAATAAATCCGGTGAATTCGTTCTATGATGTATTTCTTCTGGAGTTATATATACAGTGTATCAAATATTATTTTACGATGAGTGATTATACACCTGAGGCTATCCGTATCCGACCAACTAGCACCAATAATCAGCTCGTGCCATCTTGGCCAGATAGTGTGGAGTCGTGCTTTCACATATCCGAGTTTAGACATAGAATCACTGACCAACGTTCACAGTTCCTTTCAGTTATCCACGCTCTACCACGGGAATTAAGCAAATGCGTTAATGTGCCCAGAGGTAAGCAACCCCAATGAGGTGTTTGAAGCAGCCCTCCTTAAGGGAAACGATTCCTGAAGTTGGCAGTGTAATTTCAGTAAGGTGATCAATCGGCTGTTAACAAGTCAACGAGAATGCGGGAAGTTACTGGCCAACATCAGTTCGATGAGGGACTCTTTAGAGTTGTTCCTATCTAAGTTGCCACAACCAGTACACACTGTGACACTCCAAGGTGTCATTACTGACGATTCTAGAAATAACACAACGGAAAGTCACGGGAATGCGCTCGATCACTAAACAGTCTTTGAGTAGGGACACTGAGGTGACAGAGTTACGCAACTCCTTTCAGAAACTACCTAGGCTAATTAGTCCTAGTATTTCCGCCTAACATCGACAGAATTTCTCTTAACGACGAAGCTCACGTGATCAGTCAAAACCTAAACCACGTCCACCTAAAAACCCTGACTGGTGCTAGGATCACAATACCTATGTCCAGAAAGCGAAATGTTGCCAAAAACCTCGTTATTTTGGCAATGACTTGAATACTTTAGGAGACTATCCCGCCAGCACCCGTTAGCGGCAACCGTCGCAGGTGGCAGTACCCGCCTACCATACATCCGCGATCGTGTCAGCCAGATCCGGCACTTGCTAGACACAGGCGCAGAAGTTAGCGTCATCTCTGCTACATAGGCAGATCAACAGAAGGAACCTAAAACTTACAGGCTGCGGATGGAGAAGATTTCGTAACATTTGCTAGTAAATACGTCTATCTGAACGTAGGTTATCGCAAACCTATTCAGTGGATTTTCCTCTTTGCTGACGCCACAATACCTATCAGTGTCACGCACCTACTCAACCATCATGATATGCTCTTAAATGTTCTCGAAATTATTCTGGTAAATGGTCCCTTTAGACTGTCTATTGATGGCATCACCTACAGAGGTCACAGCTTATCACTGGTTAAGATAGTTGATCCAACTTTTCAGCCGGTTGTTGACAAGAACTCGGGTTAGAACTGCCCGTCTTACCATCTGCCGTGCATAACCAGCAATGTTATGCATCACATAACAACCCCAGTTAAACCCACGACATCTGAGGCACGACTATGTGCTCCTGACAAACCTCGACTGGCAAGAAATGAATTCAACCATGTGCTCACACTTGGTATCATTCGGCCATGGAACAGCCCAAGGGGATCCCAACTTTAAATAGTACTGAAGAAGGATAGCAACGACTGGCAACCCAATGGTGATTACCGGTGAGTGAACGCTGAAACTAGCCCTGATTGCTAACCATTGCCTCACATACATGACTTGGTGGCAACATTATGTGATGCAACTATTTTTTCGAAGATAGACTTGGTTTAAATCAAACAACCAAACGCCGATGGCACCAGAGGATATACCGAAAACAGCTATCATTATGCCTTTCAGACTGTTTGAATTTCTACGTGTCCCATTTGATCTCCGGAATGCAGCACAAACATTGCAACAGCTGACTGACGAGGTGCTTCGTCGTCTTGACTTTTTATTCGCATACATAGATGGCTACCTCATTACGAGTACGCACAAGGAAACTCACCTTAGACACTCGGGTTTGGCATTCGAAACATTACATGGTGTTACCACTAATATTCAAAAGCCTCAGATGGGAATACAATCACTCGACTCTCTCTATCACAACATTGACTGCAAGGGTATCTGCCCACTGGCTGTAAAACTTGAGGCGATTCCTTACTTTCCAGAGCCACAGACAGTGAAAAGTCTTCGCACTTTCAACGCTTCATTCCTAACTGTGCCACCAACAGACCTTCTTCTGGGAAATAACAAGTCCATCGAACCTGACGAGTCATGTTAAAAGAGATATTGCGGATTTTACTCTTCTTATGTATCAGGATGCAACAGCACCACTAAATATCTCAGTTGATGCACCAGACACTGCAATCAATGCAGTCCTGCAACAACTAGTCAACAGAGAGTGGCAAACACTCGCCTTTGTTATCGAGGTGCCTACAACCAGCAGCGAAGAAATTCTGGCTATGCACTGTGTTATACGCTTTTACTTCTGACATTCAATAGCGGCTTGTGTTATCGTAATTTTCACTGACCACAAACGTTTGACGCACTCTCTTGACTCAGTTATAGATAAGTATTCACCCAAAGAATCACGACAACTTTATTACGTCTCATAGTTTACATGGAATATTCGCCATATATCCGGAGTGAACCATACTGTGGCAAATGCCTTGTGGCACATTTGTTCCGTCGTCTAAATTGCTGGCACAGACGTTGTGAAATTGGCACACCTTCGAAAGGAAGATACTGAGCTTCCACATGAGTTGTCGGAAACAACTAATCGATTGGCTGAAAAACACTTAGGAACTGTTATTACTATTATTCCCTGGAGTTTCGAGTAGAAAATAGGGCTTCAATAACACAATTGCACTTTGTCATGTCTTCTGCCATCCTCTCCAGCTTGGACCACGGTTGCCCACAATCTCTTATCTCCTCCTCACCACACGATCTCCTCCAAGTCACCCTAAGAGGACCAAATCGTCGCTCCCCTTTGGGATTCCTCTAGAGGGCCTGGCGCACGAAGTCATTAGACGGTTTCCTCAATGTATGCCCGATCCACCTCCATTTTCTCCTACATATTTGTTGAGAAATAGGCTCTTGGTTGGTTTGTTCCCACAGTTTCTTGTTACTAGTTCTTTTTGGCTGGCCATTTGGTCTTCAGTATGGGGCAAGCGAAACCATGTAGGGCACATTCAGTGAAGAAATTCTGGCTATGCACTATGTTATACGCTTTCACTGTATTGATATCCTGAGACGTGAAGTCTTCATTGAATGATGCTATGCGGAAAGGTGCAGCTTCTAAATAAAGTAGACTGTTTGTATAGATGACATTTTCCTCCCACTATCCTATCTTCCCAATTATAGCGATATTTTGATACAGTTCGACTGAAGCACTAATCGTTGTAACGAACATACTATGAGTGTGTCGCAGTCAGATCACATGACACGGACACCAACATAACTACCCAGGAAATTCTCATCAATCCAGATAACATATAACACATTTTTATTAGAAGTCATCGACAAAAAATATTTCCAACGGAAATTTTAACAGAACGTGATATATAAGTCCAACCTTTTTTCGGTTATTTATTGAACATGACTTCACAGCACTGATATTTCTAACGCGGCATTTATACTTTTTATTGCGCTACCTGGGATTTACGTGAATATGGGCAGGTCGGTTTATATAAATGCCTCTTATCCTAATCGCATCTGAATCTATTATCCGATTTGAAGTGATAAGTAGCCTTTATTAAACGTGGTTGGGTTTCCGAGAGCAGCTTAGTGAAGGTACAGGTAGAATTTCACAATAAGAATTGTAGCAGTGTGCTCTAAAGTACCGTAACCTCAATAGAATCGGTCAGACGATTTGAAGTTTGTGGTTAGTTCATAGGAGCAACAGAATCAGTACTCTAAACTGCTTTTATTGTGGCTTGTGCTTGCTGTAAATGGGGATAAGGCGTCTTGGACTTCCCAATCGCTTTACAGACTTAGAAAATTAAATGTTTCACAATCTATTATTAGTTTGTTTCGCTAGAATTAAGGTATTACTGGTAATGAACGCAATTGTACCACAATTTAGATTACCCGAGTGCTCTTGTCATGCAGTTAGCAAGTAGACCTCAATCTTTGTTAAAGTAAAGCCATGTTATTCCACCAGGTAAAGTTGTCATCAGTTTTAAAGCCAAAACACGATCTAAATTTATCAAAGCAAAGGATTTACTCTTCAAGAATTCACTGTAGCTCGCTACTTAGTCTCTTCCAAATAATGTTTGGTTTAAGTGTAGTCAGTCCGTCAAACCACCACAACAGTAGTTTGGGTATTTAATGCATAAAGGACTACTGCTTTCTAAATCCTAATATTTCTCAAGATTATATCCTATGCTTTCCGTCGTAATGTATTTTTATAATGTTGGTCCCCTCTGGTGATAAATTTATTTGTATTTATTTATTTCCTTATCGTATCATTTCGTATTTATTTATTTATCGTATTTATTTCCTTGTTGCAAAATGTCACTTTGACTTTTATCACTAAAGCTGACGACAACTGTCTGTTAGTACTTCAGACTCCTGTTTTATTCTGCGATTAGAGAAAATGTCCGTGAACATCCTTCAGTGTAACGACTATGTAGAATTTAGTAGTGTAAGTAGCGTTCAAGAATTTGTTACTTTCACTGGAGAATTCAAAAGTCTTACTTTTTCATGTGTACTCCCCACTATGCTGTTTATGCCCGTGTACTACAGTTGGCTCATCGAACTTTTTCGTTTGGCTTTCTGAGACTGACTTTTTGTTTCCAAGGCGGAATTTATTGTATATATCAAACTGTAATATATTAGTGTATTGTGTTTTCCAGAAATGCGTAGCTGAGCTTGGTTAAGTTGGTGAAAAATAAACATAGGATGAAGTCGTGTATCTGTTAACACATGGAGTCAGATCATTCACACCCTCGAGTTTTGTCCTCTAAAGTTATCTACAGGGCGAAATTTAGTTGATAAGTTTACGTTTTTGTGTACCTATGTTTAGCCGAAGTTCTGGCTGTAACATTTTAGTAAAACTTTTCTTTACCTTGGTTATGGGAACGTTCTTTAAATCTCATTGTATCGCTTGAATTTACACCACTATACCTTATTTATTGTTATGGTCAAACTTTATTTTAGACACCTACTTTTGAAACCTTAATACTACTTCACTTATTTAATCCTTCAAAATTTTGTAATTCACCCACTTAAACATTTTGTTAATTACTCCTATTCTTATCATATATATATTGACTAATCAGTTTTTAGTGTCTTTGTTAAATAAACACAACTGTTCACCTTGAAAAGAAATATCTTGCTGAACGTAAACAGTTTCTGATTATTCGTAAATTGTTTTATATTTGCCATTAACCTATGGAGCCCGGATTATTTCTCGTAGTTATCTGCCATCATGTCTTTTTCCATGGCAAAAAGTGGTCCTTATTTTCCGGATTTCGATATGTGGTTTCATTCTCGCTCTAAGTGTTAGTTCATATCAGAGCCAATCACCGTTATTGTTGAGTAGCATACGTCATTATTTTACACATTGGCCTAAATGTCACTTATTAATTTAACCAAGCAGTTTTAAAATATCTAGTATGCTGTGACACTGCTACATGAAAACAAATGATTGTTTGTCCATTTGCTAACGAACTTTCAAGGTTGTTACTTCATTTCCCTGTGACATATATTCTTATGCACTTTAATTTCTGCTAGTTGATCTCTGCACACATCACCGACTGTAATGTCTGTAGGTTTTATCCGTGAGGTAAGTAAAGACTTGAAACCAGTGTTACAGTCTAGGCGCTTAAATGATCTAGATTGAAACTCATTAAATTTTAATTTTCTTGTTCTTTTTTGTTGGTAAACATCTTAGACGAAGAGAAGATGATCACTCACATAGCAGACGTCGTCGTTCAAGGTCTCGTTCCCGCTCACGGTCTCCTGTCTTACCTAGGAGGGCATTCTCATCTACTTTAGAAGGGTCATTGCCTTTGGCTGCTTCTCTACCAACGTCGACTCTGATGGGCTCATTACTAGCTGCACAAGCTAAAGCTGCAGAAGAAGCTGCAGCAAAGGCCAAAGTAGAGGCTCCCAAGCCAGCAGTTGGCAGCATGACTGCCATTGCTAATGCAGCGGCTGATATGATTAAAGCTGCTCGTAATTCTGGACAGGGAATTGCTGGCACGGAGGGTGCTCTGATCATCACTCCAAATATGGACAAAGATATTGAACAACGTCGTCTTGACTTGGAAATGCAGAAGGTAAATCCAAACCATATCTTCTTAGTGTTGTTTAACTGTGATTATTGTAGCGCCTAGTAATCTAAAAAATTTATTTTACAGAGACGAGAACGCGTTGAACGATGGAGAAGGGAGCGCAAGTTGAAGCAAGATATTCTTGCAGCTCAACAAAGGCTTGCTGAAAGCACTAGAGCCTCTACTGCTAACAAATGGAACTTAGAGGATGACGACGATGAGGAGGACGCAAGCAAAAAGAACGCACGTGCAGAAAAGCCAGAAGACGATGGCATTGATCCTTTGGATGCGTACATGATGGTATGTTAATAGAAATATCGTCTTACCTTGTCATGTATCAATTACATTTTGCTTATTCCCCATTTATTTTTAGCCTTCTTTAGTAGGAAAACCTAAGGTATTTATTTGGGCAACGAAAGTTTTTTTCGGATCTGATGTTTTCGGTTCCTAAATGTGCACTTAAGTCATGAGCCTTCTTTGATGTGAAAAATCATGTATTTATTGTTACTATCATTGAAACAAACCTGGTACGTTAGAGGGACCAAGAGATGCGCCACACAAGACTTCATAGTCTGTGCGAGGGTTGTCTGGATGTCCTAACCGAAGCGGGTGGTTGTCTTAAAAGGTCACCTTCCGAGCCTTGGGCTTGGAAGCTGATCCATAAGGCAGTGAAGCAGCGTCAGGAGCTACTTTCCGATGATTGCTGGTGATCAAGTCAGGTTCATACCTCATTTGATCTTTCTGGATTCTGGAGATAATGTACACCAGACGTTCGCATTCAGGGCTTTCCAGGGCTCTCCTACGTAGACTTGCACGTAAACTAGTCTGGTCGTAGGCACTAGACTGTCGTATTCACCTTGTTCGCCTGAAAGTGACGAGTGGGCCCTACCTGACAGACTGACCATTTAGTCAAATGAAAGCATTCCGAGAGCAAGGCTGAAGTCTACCTAATTTTGGTAGTATCAGGTCGTGTATAAAGGCGACAATTACTGTGTCGCTTCAAACGGTCAAACATACGTAATCATACTTTCAACCAATTATTTATGGAATTTGGTTTCAGATGAATATCATTCATAGTCGCTTATCTATTTATTAGTGTTTAACTACTGTTTTCTTTGATAGGTGTGTAGTTGCATTAATCCTCGTTTTCAGAAAATTCATTTCCTCGAGTTATGTGTAGATTACGTCGAATAATCGAACTACTAAACAAAATTGACTGATAAAATATTTGGAAGTAATCAATTTTTAAATGCAATTAGTTTTGGAAAATATCTTCAAATACACCAAACATTTACCTTCCTGCTCAAGCTTAAGTATCGCATCTGTAGAAAGTCCATTTTACGATTTATCAAAGACACAAAAGTAGTCGGAAGACTGATTTACATTTCTGTAAGTGTCATATTGTATTTAGGAAACACCTACTGACTTAGCGGTGTCAATGTAGAACTTTGTAAAGATATGCGGCAGTTGAAGTTGTCACACTCCATTCGGCACATAAAAGTACACCAAAGAGAGAAAAACAGATATCTAAAAGAACTATGATAAGCAGAAATGTGAGGGAGAAAGATTAGTAACGTAGAGAAGTATGTGACAGTTCAGTACATATGGTAGATCACAAAGATTTGATTCCTCTTTACCATTGAGAACTATTTCGAGTCGTGTCACCATCAGTCTCCAGTCGTTGATTTCCGGCATCCCAACCATGCAGTCTACACCTCTCTATGTGGCTCATCCCAATTTCTAAAAACTTAAGAGACTGACACTAGGTTTTGGTTTCATCAACCCTAACTCCTTGTCGACTTAGTCCTATATCGGCTAATATTGCTAGATGAAGAAGATGATGGTATGACATGTGTGACACAAGTCCCAGCCATATCAATGCATACAGCTTCACAACCTCATCGATTAACTTTCTTTACTCACCCAACACTACTCCCAGCCCTAATATTACTCATCATATTATATCACAACACAGGAATTAGGACGTAGACACAGCTAGTCTTTTCATATCTTCCACCTACAATGGCCATGCCTCACAACCATAAACGAGGACAGAGCGAACTGCTGCTGAGTACACACATCCTCTAATCAACAGACAGGTGTCATGTCTACATCAGAGATGGCGTAAGTCGGCAAGTGCCACATGAGCCTTTTGCGCCTGGGCTAAGATTTCGTTCGCGATCAGTCTATTGGGGGAGGAGAGTGATGCAACTTCCTGAATAAGTGAGATGGTAAACAAACCCTACCGTTTTACTCCCTGTCTTTAAGCTAGGAGTCGGTGTAGTCCAGTCCTGCAACATCATCTTACATATGACAGGAGTGGATAACATGCAAAACATTTGGAGGTTTCTGGTCAAGGTGTTCAGAAGACCGCATTTTGTCAGTTAGCGTCATCACCTAGGAGGACTACATCATCAGCTTACTCTAATCCAACAAGAGTGTTTCTTGGTAACAAGTCAATCCGTAAGTCATTAAAGTCAGTTGAGGTCAATCCTAATAGTACTTCTGTGATGCAAGTAAACAAAAGTAAGGAAATTTGACATTCCTGATAGTCACCACTGGTTGTCCTCACGACAGGTGACAAATCTCCATAAGCTTTTGAACAGCTACGCGCGTTGGAGTGGAGTGCCTTGATTAGTGCGATTTACCTTCTCACCAATTCCTTCACAACCCGATATTGCCACAAAACCTCTTGGCTGATAAAGTCAACCATCGCCTTCAGGCCAAGGAATATGGCAGGTGTGGGACGTGGGTAAATACGTCTGTATTCTATAATCTGTCGATGGGTGAAGTTATTATTTATACTACGTTGTCTGAACCAAAAACTCATCACTTCTTTAGGGGCTTGTTTCTCCCGGGAGCTGTTCACTCTATGCGTGTTTATTGGAGCCAGAATTATAGATATTGTTTTAGTCAAGCTAATGCCCCCCCCCCTTGATTATCACAATAATTCTTGTTTCCCTCCAAATAAATGGGGACTAACAGTGAATTGCACTATTCCAGTGGCACTCTCACTGATTCTCAAACATTGACTAAGACCTCAGTCATTTATGTCAAAAGTTCACCTCTGCGGCTATTCCATCAACCTCCACGGCTTTGCTTTACTTTAGATTAGAAATATCTTTTGCAACCTCATTCACAATTGAGGGGACAAGGCAAAGAAAAACGAATAACTTCTGCCCTATAGATGCATCAACATAGTCGATGTCTTAAAGCACCTAGTGGAGGATAAAGTGAAATCACAACTATATCTTGAGGTTTGTTTCAAATTTCAGATAATTTCGTCTTCCTCCTGCAGATTACTGTGTATTGCCCATTGTGCTAGACTGTACATTTTACCATAGATTTAAGTATGCTCCTAGTGGCTGTGGGCCCAATGAGTTGGAACTTTGGGGAAGTAAGTTTTCGTACGTTTTCTCACGGAGTATCAGCAACTGGTTCAATCTACCAATTTGTGTGGTTTAAGAGCGAAATTTCTATTGGATATAGTCACTTCCTAATATGAGTCATTTCCAATGTTTTCGCATGAAGGAGTATTTTGTTCAAATCAACTTGTGGTTTGCTTGGATTTTTAACGTGTGGTTATCGTTATTATCAGAGGACAGATATTACACCAGAATGAATGTATTCACTTCGAAATCCTTCTAAATAACCAACTTCTAAGGTAGATTTTAATATCACTTCAGTTTTTAATGGATAATTACTAAGAGTTCTGCGAGTATATTCTCTGGTTTTCTGGTGAAAGAGCTAGTTTTTATTTTGTTATAAAAACACTTATTTTCGTATTTTAGGAATTAAATAATCAAGTTTACTCTGGTCTTGACACTACTAAGAAAGATTCTCCTAAAATGCCTGAAATGCCAGTAAGTAACTCCGACACTTCCGAACCTACTTCGAATCTTGTCAAACCAAAACGGCAGTTAGTAATCAAACGAAAAAGAGTGATCGGTCGGGGTGAATTGATGGAAAGTAATATAGATGAAATGGAATATTCTTCCGAAGAGGAAGACACTACAATTCAGGATGCATTGGCTCAACTGCAGAAAAAAGACAAATTACAACCTATTGATCATTCAAAAATCGAGTATACTCCTTTTCGCAAAAATTTCTATGTGGAAGTTCCAGAATTAGCGAAAATGTCGAAAGAAGATGTTAAAGAATATAGAGCTAGTCTGGAGAATATCCGTGTACGCGGTAGAGAATGCCCTAAACCTCTTCGCAACTGGGTGCAAGCAGGCATTAGTTCTCGTCTTTTGGCATGTTTAAAAAGGTAGGTTCTTGTTTTCGTAATTTTCAAAATTTCATCCGTTTTGTCAGCCATAAATAAGAATCATACTTGTTATCTTACTGTAACCGTTTGAAAGTTATCTCGCTTTGTTGACCAAACGCCCTGTATATTTTTAATCATGCGTAACTGATATAAATGGAGTTTATTTTCTGCAGTTTGAGCAGTTGGTTCTGATACTGGCCTAATCTTTGGAATTTACTCTACCTAGCTGTCGTGGTAACTCTACGAATAATATTGTCCTTGTAATTCGTCTTCCTTTTAAACTATTCGTACGCGTTTTAGTTCCGCATTAACTAGAACTATCTGGCGTTTAGAATAAATGCAAGCCAAGGAACCTAAACCATTTTGAGCTGTATGCCTAAAGCTGGATGATTTAATTGAGAGGCTTTCATTATCTTTCCAGACGACATATTTTCATTTTCAGGTTCACACTGAAAATGTCTAGACGGAAAGTGAATGCTTTGTAAATCAACCATTCATTTTCAAAGAAAACACTACAAGGTCGAAACCATCCATATGAGTTAATATGCCCCATCACTCCAGCGGCAAGTCCTAACCAACATGATATCGTTGAGACATGTATCATTTATGTCTTCCCTGATTAGTAGGACTGAATCAAGGTAGATTTAAGTAGTCACTAAAGAGTGAGCGATGAAACATAAGCACACATTATCCATATCTTATGCTTCCACCTACAGTAAATTAAAATTCGGAAGACTGCTGCTCTTCAAATATATAGTCTTTTTGCGGCTCGGTATTTCCCTCATTGTATCCAAATTGAAGATCTCGGGACGAAGAATTGCATTGATGCAACCTCCCCTAACAAATAAAGTGTTAAAAGAGTTACTCCCTACCCTGCAACCAGATCACAGCTCAGACTAGTCCTGTAACATTATCTTACATTTAAGGTGGGAATACATTCCAAGCATATTATTTTTGTTCAGAGCGTTCAGGAAACTGTATTTCATCAATATTTTCGTCTAAATGGACTGTATCTTTTACGTACGAACGTCAAACAGCTCCTTTCTTGAGGATGTTTAATTCAAACGGGGCTACTATCTGTTCTACGTTGATATTTCAGTAGGTCAAATTTAAAAACAGTCGCCACCAAGCTTCAACAAGTTGGATTCCATTCCTTAAATAATGCAATCTGCAGTAAGGCAGTCTTTCGTGAATCTCAGCAAATAAGTGAAGTCCGTGAGTATATAATACTTTCATTGGTATTTTAACTTTCATTATGTCCTTTTAACTTGACCTAAGTCTATTTTCTCACCCCTTAAATGTTAAAAGTAATACTTTTCTTCTTGAAATAACTTGTGGTTGATAATAATATTCAAGGGTTACTACTTGAATTGCCATTCTTATTTCACAGAAGTAAAATGTGATGTTTTACAAACTTTATTTGATATTCTGTTCTGATTGACGCACAAAGTTTTGTTTGGTTTGCCATCGCATTCGATTACTTACCAGTTTACCTTTGAAGACCTTTCAAGTGTTTTACTTAATTTCGTTAATTTCAACTCTCAGTAATACTCAACACCATTGTCTGCGTAGATATTTGCTGTACACATGTTTGTTCACTTCATCGGTATATTTCATTTTTGTTAATGTCTTACATTTTTCAGTTGTTCTTTCCCATAATATGTTTATTGCTATGTCTGTTAGATTTAGGTTTAAAAGATACACTTCTCGAAAATGTGACACGTAAAAGTCTATTGTTGTCAGTTGTTTCATTTTTTAGAGTAGGTACTTCGCACTCGGTGTTGAAGTTTAAACAGGGTGAATTCTTTAGTCACTTTGGTCTTGTTCCTGTTTCTATTTTTTTCGACATCGAACTTTGCACTTATGTGCGGCAGTTCAAGTCGCCACATTCCATGTAGCACATAAAGCAAGAGAAGAAAGTAGGAGAAATGCATAATATAGACAGTAAACAGAGTTGTGGGACAAAGGCATAGTAATAACGAAGAACAAAATAGTTTAATTGGGAATCATAAGTCACAAGGAGTGGATGCATCTGCGCCATTGAGAACGATTTTGAGCCATGTCACCAATTGTTTCCAACCATTGGTTTTTACCGTCCCGAAGACCCCAACCAGAGCGTCCACACCTTCCTACGTGGCTTAAACTAATTGTTGTAGATTTCATTGACTGGTGCCATGTTTTCGTTTGACCGCCACTAGCTTTTTTCCAGCCTGACCCTATATCAGCTAACATTGTCCGTCGAGGAAGGCGATGACCAGGCATACTTAACACATGTCCTAACCATCTCAGTCGATGTAATTTCACAGTGTCGTCTACTGATTTCCCCTCCTTACCTAGCACTCGACGCCTAACCTCAATATTGCTCACCTTATTATGCCACTTCACGCGGGAGATAGAACGCAGGCACCTATGATCAAAGACAGCTAACCTTTTCATGTCTTCCACTCTCAATGGCCAGGTCTCACAGCCATAAAGGAGGACGGAGCGGACTGCTGAGCAGTACACACGCCCTTTGGTCGATAGTCGGATATCACGTCTACGCCAGAGACGGCGTAAACTGGCATATGCGAAACGAGCCTTCTGTATCCGTATTGAGATTTCGTCAGCAACTTCCTAAATAAGTGAAGCGGTCAACGTGCTCTACCACTTCACTCCCTATTTCTAATCTAGGAGTCGGTGTAGTCCAATCCTGCAACTTTGGTCTTATCTGACAGTTTCGAGTTTGTATCTTAGTGTATTTACTGTTCACGTGATAGCAAGTTTTTTATAACTTCAGTATCTTTCTAAATAAGTAGAAATATTCCTACATATATATTTTACATTACAGATTAACATTTTTAAGCTGCCACACCACCATTCAATTTTCCAGTCGTTTTGTTTTCGTCAGTTGTCTTGCACAGAATAAAATAGCCATTTGCAAAATACACAGTTCACTGTTACCTAGATGATTCACTTCAATGGTCTTTTAGTATACCCTTTAATAGAAACTTCAAATGTAACATTATATAAGTTTCAAATATGTGGTTAATTTCAATCTTTTCCTTGACTACTTCCTAATGTTTACAGCCGTTCTCACTATGATCAAATAAAAGCACATAAACGTAGGGACATACTCAAATTGTATGTGTAAAAATAAAACAGTTCTAGAGTGAACTGAAGGGTATATACAAAGAAAGCAGGATTTTAGACCTGAAAAAGGGGCTAAATGTATTCTATTCGGTTTGATTTCGACCTATGTGGCGAACCTGAAGCGTACCTCGTTGCTTGTCAATACATAACGGAAGATTTTACTTTTGTTCATCTTTTATGTGAGAAACATAATTAGGTACAATTTTAGATAATTGTAACGCAAATGGTTATCTACACTGCTTATGTGTACAATGAGGTTTAAGTTGTTTCAGAACTTCATCGGTTGTGTTACCCTAGATGTGTCCATGCAAAAATACATTTTACGGTATTTTAAACTTATATTTTGACAATTATGACAGGCTAGTGATTTCGTTTTTGCATTATCTGGTTTGTATACACATGCATGAAGTGAAGATTAAATAGAATACCCTTGCTTTGTCTGATACTCAATTCAGTTATAGACCTCTCTATGGGAGCCTATCAAACTAGAAGTAATACATGCACCTGGTAGAACTCATTTGGGGCTTCCACTCCAGCTGAGGTACTGCAGCTGTTGCTATAATTAGTGCATTAAATGCCATTCACATATTCATTATAATGACACTATTTGCGACTCTCAGATATTTCAGAATTGGTTCACTTTTACAGTAGTTCACTTCGTTAGTCTACTATCGACACTGAAGCGTTTTATGAATGGGCTGTCGAATTACAAATCCGAGCGTACTAGTTTTATCTGCCCAGGGGATTATTATTGTTATTTTTGTTCCCTTGGGTTCCTAGTGAAACATAGGGCTTCAACTACACGTCTCCATTTGCTTCTGTCTCCTGCTGTAGTTTTCACCTGCATCCATGTTAGTCCATACTGTTTCAATTCCTCTTCACACGATCTCCTCCATGTCACCCTTGGACGTCTAACTCGCCGCTTCCCTTTCGGGTTCCACTCGAGGGCCTGACGCGCGATGTCACTCAGTGGCCTCCTCAGCGAGTGTCCAATCCATCTCCACTTTCTCCTGCATATTTGTTGGGCGATTGGTTCTTGTTTTGTTTGCCCCCATAGTTTCTTGTTGATGATTCTTTCCAGCCATCTGATCTTGAGTATAGAGCGAAGACAGTTGTTGATAAAGGTCTGCAACCTGTTGGAAATATTCTTTGTGACCCACCAAGTTTCTGATCCGTATAGAAGAACTGACTTGACGTTTGTATTGAAAATCCGAATTTTGTTGTTGATGCTGAGTAACGAAGATTTCCAGATTGGTTTCAGGTTGATGAATGTGTTTCTCGCCTTCCCGATTCTCGATTTGATATCCTCGTCCGTTCCTCCTGTAGTTGAGACAATGCTCCCTAGATAAGTGAATGAAGTAACCTCTTTGAAATCCCTCCCGTTGATGGTGATTGGCGCTGGATGTTGCTGCTGTTGTTGTTGTTGGTTGGTTATTTTCATAATCTCCGTCTTGTCTATGTTCTTCGACCAGTTTGTCGGTTTTCGCTTGTAAGTCTTCGATTTTGTGTGACATCAGACATAAATCATTTGCGAAATCCAGGTCTTCTAGATTCTTCACGTCGGTCCATGATATCCCTGGCTTTTCGTTTCCCACTGTCTGACGCATAATCCAGTCCACCACAATTAGGAATATCATTGGTGATAATAAGCACCCTTGTCTGACTCCTGTGTTTACTCCAAATGCCTCGCTGAGTTTTCCGTTGTGGATCACTTGACATGTGCCGTTGTCGTACAGCTGTTGTATAAGGTTGATGAATATTTGGGGTACGCCGTAGTACTGGAGTAGTTTCCAAATTACTTCGCGGTCAATGCTGTCGAAATCCTTCTCAAAGTCTATAAAGTTGAGGTAGAGATTTGATTGCCATTCCATGCTTTGTTCGATGATGATGCTTAGAATTGCAATTTGGTCAGAACATGATTTGCCTTTCCTGAATCCAGCTTGTTCTGGTCGGAGTTCTGTATCCAGTGCGTCCTTGATTCTCCAGGATGATGCGACCCAGGATTTCACTTGGCGTCGACAGGAGCATGATTCCTCGCCAGTTCTTGCAGAGCCCTAGGACGACCTTCTTTGGTAGTTTCACAAGGTAGCCTTTCCTCCAGTCAGTAGGCACCTTTCCCTCCTTCCAGACTTTTTGCAATAATGGAGTCAGGATATCTGCTGTCGTCTCTGGGTCCACTTTCAGTGCAGTCTCTTTTGCCTTCTCAGCTTCAGTGGTCAGATTGTCATAGAGTTGTCTTTTGTCCTTCCTAGCACTCTTCTTCAGTTCTTTGTCCAGTGCTGTGTAAGTTGAACTCAGCGTCTCCTTCGTTTGTCCGTCTTTGTATTAAATCATTTTCTCTTTCATCATTCTCCTCTCCTCTATTAGCTTCCAAGTGTCCGTTGAGAGCCATTCCTTGTCTTGTTTCTTCTTTCTTCCTAAAACCGTTAAACACGTTTCGTTGAAAATCACCTTCAGAGAGTTCCAATGGTCTTCCACGGATGATTCCTCAGTGATGCCACGTAGTGTTTCCTGCTTTGCTCTGACAGTTACAGTGAAAGTGTCCTTTGTGGTTGTGTCCTTCAGTTTTTGAGTGTTGAACTTGCATTGTGGCCTATCCCCAGCTATCCTCGAGGCTTTTAGCTTCACCTTGAAAGTCCCTTGTACTAGATAGTGGTCTGAACCCCCATCTGCTCCTCTCTTCGACCTTGTGTCCAGTAGGCTCCGTCTCCACTTCCTTGAGATTGAAATGAAGTCTATCTGGATTTTGGTGTGTCCATCTGATGAAATCCATGTCGCTTTGTGTATGTCCTTGTGTTTGAACACACTGCCACCAATCACCAAATCATTGAAGGCGCAGAAGTCTGAGAAGAGTTCACCATTTTCGTTCATTTCACCGAAGGCCTCACGACTCGTGGTGAGTTCTCTTCCTGTATTGTCTCCTCCCAGTTTCGCATTCATGTCACCCATCAGGATTTTGATATCGCCATTTGGGACGTTGTCCATTACTGTTTGTAGTTGACTGTAGAAATCCTCCTTTTTCTCTTGTTCTGAAACGTTTGTAGGCGCGTAGCATTGAATGATTGTAACCTTCTTTCCTTTTGAGTTGAACCTGGCTGTCATTATCCTGGAGGAGATTGGTTCCCATTGCATGAGAGCTTTGGCTGCTGTTGGTGACATCATGATGGCTACTCCCTCGGTGTGCTCGTGATTGTCCTCTGGGTGACCGGAGTAGATTATTGTCTCTCCAGTTGGCAGTTGGCTCCTTCCACATCCGTTCCATCTGCTCTCGCAGATTCCCAATACTTCTATTTTATATCTTCTCATTTCTGCGGCTACCTGGGCAGCCTTTCCAGTTTCGTACATTGTACGAATATTCCACGTCCCCATCCTTATTTTTGCTTTCATCGAAAGAAGTCACATCGGCTGACTGGCTTCCCGAAGGCTTTCACCAGCCTGCGTCATTTCACTTCCCCGATTCCAGCGAAAAATAAGGTTATTGTTTATATTTTTAGTATTTTTATTATATTTATGCGTTGAAGTTTCTGTAGCGATTTGGTTAAGTTTTGGGGGTGGAGTTGCTAGCACCACACCCCAACCCTCCCTCTTTATCCGGGCTTGGGACCGGCTAGAAAACTAGCGAGCTAGTAATCTAGGCGAGGTTAGTCCAGGGGATAACTATAGTCAAAATGAAGTAAGATACACAGCTCATGTACAGTTTTTAGCTGAAGTGAATCCTTCTGATTCACCACTGAAAGCTAACAGAATTCCTATGAGTAACTAAACCAGGGCACATTACAAGGCTGTTTATTAATAGCGTAATATTGGAAATCGTTGATTTACCCGATTTTTTTTAAAATCCTGATTTTGCCTAATCTTAAAACCAGCTATATCAGGCTTAAACATGCTTAAGCTAGTCTGGACAAATTAAACCATCTGAGCGAAGCAGAACACTCATCTTAATGCAACTGGACAACCTTGAAGCTCGAATTCATGCAACCAATTAAATTAGTTATTTACCGGCGTAACTTTTCGAGGTTGGTAATATTTTTATATGATGTATTTCTGTATGATAAAGTCGATTGTCCTTACTGGCTCGGACTAGTTTATCTTCTTTCTGTCTTTAAGTGGGCCCTGAGGATCAAGATTGGGTGGTGTTCAGACGAGCTACTTGTCTCCTTTCCTTTATCAAACCGTAGTCGCAATTGTTTAAATATCAAGCGAAATGAGGGATCTAACAATCTTGTTAGATCCCAGATTTAGGACAAACAGTCGTTTAAGTGAAACAATCCATGCTTCATTTTTCTCTCTTCATGTATATAAAACAGCAAATTGTATGTTTGAATTGGAAAGTTGAGGAAATTGAGGTACTAAATGGAAACTTGTTATTTGAAAACTGTCATTTGATTTTGCTTATTATATTTCTATACGAGAATTCCCTGTGACGTAAATTAAAAACACAAGTCATTAAAAAGTACTCTTTATTGACCTGTTTCTAAGTTTGAGTTCACATTCACTATCTCCTTTTACGCGTCACCACTTACTTACATTTCTGATATTTCAAGGCGTAAGAAGGTGAATGATCATAAATACAGTTTTCGAATTATTTTTTCTTATATGTAGTTCTTTTCTACGTGCAGAAATCACGTCTTCTATTCATTTCACCATTTAAGTGTTTTTATCGACTTGTATGTAAATAATTTTTATTTCTATCTTTTCTAGAAATAACTTCGAAAAACCTACACCAATTCAGTGTCAAGCTTTGCCCGTTATAATGTCTGGTCGTGATATGATTGGCATCGCCAAAACAGGGAGTGGAAAAACTCTAGCGTTCTTGGTGCCACTTATGCGTCACTTGGAGCATCAGACCCCACTTAACCCTGGAGATGGTCCGATCGCTCTTCTTCTAGCACCTACTCGGGAGTTGGCGCTACAGATATATAAGGAAGCGAAAAAGCTATGCCAAGCCGCTGATGCTCGTGCAGTTTGTGTTTATGGTGGAACTGGCATTAGTGAGCAGATTGCTGAACTCAAACGTGGTGCTGAGATCATTGTTTGTACTCCCGGTCGTATGATTGACATGCTTGCTGCCAACGGAGGTAAGCTGTTTTTGATGCATATTAACTTTATTTGTAAACTCGCTTATTTTACTGGACTGTCGCAAACCCAGAAAAGAGGGGAGTTCGAGCGTGGGGCTAGCTACCCTACCCTGAAAAATCAACTTACTCGCTATAGAAACTTCAGTAGACAGCAAAAATATACAAAATAAACTGATTCTTTGCTGAATTTGGAGAGGCGAAATGATGCGGACTGGTAAAAGCCTTCGGGGAGCCAGTAAGCCGATGTGTCGTCTTCCGATGAAAACCAAAATTATGTATAAGTACATGGAATATCTGCACTATGTTCCAATCCGGGAAGGCCGCTCAGATTGCAAAAGGAATAAGGAGATAGTATATGACACTGCTGTGAGTCTGTGAAAGTAGGTGAAATAGAAGTGGACTCTAGGCTGTTTAGCTGGAAAGTCAATAATCTACTCCACTCATCCAGACAACAGTCACCATCAGTATGGAGAGAGGCTATCACTTTGTCACCAACACCACAGAAAGCTCTTATGCTGTGGTAACTATTCTCCTCCAGAATATTGACAGCAATATTCTATTCAAAGCGTGGGAAACTTGCATTTACCCGTTGCTATGCTCCTACAAACAACACAGATGAAAAGAGGAATGAAGAATTCTACAAACAACTGCAAACTGTGATGGACAAGAACCCAACGGGACGTCGACTTCAAAATCTTAATGGGTGATGTGAATTCCTGACAAACTTCGAGCCGGCAACACAGGAAGGGAATTTAACGTGAGTACGAGGCCGCTCGGTGAAGTGAATGAGAATGGCGAACTCTTCGAAGAGTTCTATCCTCGATGATTTGATGATTAGAGTCAGAGTGTACAGGAATGTGCACAAAGCGACATGCGTCTAACCAGATGGACACACCAAAAATCAGACAGACTTGGTACCAATGTCAAGAAAGTGGAGGTGCGCCTGCCAGACAAAAACTCGAGGAGCAAAACAATGGTTGGCTGAGACCATTATCTAGTAAAACGAACCTTCAAGGTTAAGTTGGAAGCCTACAGAGAATCTGGATATTAACGACAATTCAAGTTTGACGATCAGAAACTGAAGAACGAATCTACAAAAGTCACGTTTACTGCAGCCACCTGTGTGAAGTCGGAGATGTTACTTTGCAACACTGAGAAAATCTGTGGAGGAGGAGGTGGAGAGACACTCTAACTCTGGAAATGTTGTAGTAAATACCTGTGTCGTCAGTGATCTTATGAGACAAGAGAAGGTAAGACAAGCGAGAGGTCTATACAGAAACGTGGGGGCTCATAGAGGAGAAATGGATGGTGAAAGAGAATGTGAACCAGTGCAGTAAGGACAGCACTGCACACCAATCCTACGATGAAAGCTGCAGTCTCGAATGCGATAAAGTTACTGAAAGCCATCCGTGAGGGCAGCAGGATCACATTGGATTCCTCGGGAGCCGCTAAAGATTGATCAAAAGACCTCAGTAGATATATCCGCACGCCACTGTTTCAGAATGTTTGGAAACCATTTAATTAGGGTGTCTTAGGCCTTCGCAAATACTTGTGCGGAATCATGCTCATGTCTATAGCAAGCAAAATACTAAGTCACTTCATCCTGGTGAGAAACTAGGAGATGTTCTGGAGGCAAAACTCCTCAAGCATGCTTGATTCAGAAAAAGCAAATCATATACTGACCAGATAACAACACCACGCATCATCATCGAACTAAGTGTAGAATGTCAGTTTAATCTCCACCTCAACTTCATCGACTTTGAAAGATCTTCAACAGCGTTGACCTTGAAGCAATTTGTAAACTGCTTCAACCCTGTAGAATGTCGTAACCTTTGCAAATTCATTTCAGCAGCTATATGTTGATATTACATTTCAGGTGATTCACAATCGAATACTCAGCTTTGCGTTTGAAGTGAAGACAGGATTGTGGTGGACTGAATCATGGAACCTATTACTCTTGAAATAAGCAGGAGGAAATGCTGGCAGATTTGACTGAGTTCGTTTAATGAAATTTCGTACTAGGCCCTGGAATGCGAAACTATGGCTTGGGCATCCGAGGGTGACATGGAAAATATTTTGTGAAGAGAAAGTAATGACTTGTGAGCAGTCGTCGAGGAGGCTGAAGAAGATTCCAAAGAACTGAGTGAAAAGGTGATGTGCTGCTGATGGCCTCTGTCCCACTCAGACCCCACAGAATATTAATAATATCAGTTCACCAAAGTAGTTATTCAAGATTCGATTGCGTTTAACTCATTCGATTCATAGACTTGAATCAATCTGATTACATTAATGATCTCTGCTCCCCAACTATGCAAATGGATATCTGGTGCTTAGATCACGTAGATTGTGCTGCTCAAGTACTACTGGTCAGAGTGAGTCGTAGACAATATCTCATCGATTAGAAAGTGATTCATATCGTGTCTATCGTGATTAAAACATTCATTGTTAACTTTTCGAACTTGTAGAATATTAACCAAATCAGGCATACAAAGATGTGTTTACGGTTTAAAGGTTTAGGCGAATTTCTCACTCACATCTACACTGAATTAATGCCAGTTTAGATTCTGCATCATTTTTAGGCATTTTTAAATGTGAAACACTTTTCCGTTTAAAATTCTTCAATTCCAGGAAGAGTGACGAATTTACGTCGATGTTCCTATGTTGTGCTGGATGAAGCAGATCGCATGTTTGATTTGGGATTTGAGCCTCAAGTGATGCGGATCATTGAGAATTGTCGTCCTGATCGTCAGACTTTAATGTTTTCAGCTACATTCCCTAGACAGATGGAGATTCTCGCTCGTAAAGTACTTACACTACCTATAGAAATACAGGTGGGAGGAAGATCTGTTGTCTGTTCAGACGTTGAACAACACGCTGTAAGTTCAATTATTTAATTATCTTTGTGTGGTAGATTATCGTTCTATTGTAATTCTGTTAAAAGCCATTTTCCCAAGGTTTAACGGGGAACTTTCTTACTATTATTGTTTCTTTTGTTTTTCATTGAAAACTATGAACTTGTAGTGTCATCAATTTCTGGATATTTTGTGAACTCTGTAAGAATAATATAAATGCTCAGTCATTTCATCACATCCTTGCTCATGATCCTTTTCTAGATAAAAATGTTCGAGTAGTAGTATTCGCAAAACGGTGAATTTGTTGTGTCGTTGAGACTGATAATAATCTGTCTCGTATAGTTCATGAATAAATTATTTTACTAGTTTGTTTAAAAACTTAAACTGACGTAACCGTGTTTCAATTGGTTCTGTTTTCTTCTGGTCAGATAAAGTAAATTTTTAAGTGCCTCTTCTCACTAGCTTTTTTTCATGAAATCTTGCGTGTAATATTGGATAGCTTTAAATTTATTCTTTCGGTTTCATGTTTTAAAAAGAAAATCATATGCCGTTCTATTTTCAACGGTCCAAAAACTTCCAACTCTATATTACGTAACCTGATATGATTTTATAATGTAATGACACTTTTCTGATTTTCTTTCACTGTAGTTCATTTTATCAGAAGAAGAAAAGGTGTATAAAGTTCTTGAATTGCTTGGCTTATATCAAGAAGAAGGTAGTGTTTTAATTTTTGTGGAGAAACAAGAAAGTGCAGATGAATTAATGCGCGTATTATTGAAGTATGGATACCCGTGTCTTTCTCTTCATGGTGGCATTGATCAGTATGATCGTGACTCCGTTATAACTGATTTCAAACGTGGTGATATTCGTCTTCTAATAGCTACTTCGGTTGCTGCCCGTGGTCTTGATGTCACTGACTTACTGTTGGTCATCAATTATGACTGTCCAAATCACTATGAGGACTATGTTCATCGTTGTGGGTAGGTCATTTGAATATAATTACATTAATTCTAACTTTGCATATAACGATTTATTTCTATTGTGTACATGTGCACTTAATTGTTACGCTAGATAGATCAAATCTAGCGTATAGAATTATTTATTATCCATCTGTTACTATCCTTTTTGCCATATAAGTTTGTTCTTGTTAATAGTTTACCATTGTTATGTAATTTTTCTTCTAGTTTTTACCGACTGACCAAACATCTTTGCAAAACATGATCATATAATTAATTCCTCTCCACAAGAGATACAATTTTATTCCACGATGATATTAAAAAGAATATTTGCACTTACACTGATTTGTGGATCTTTGCTCTACTTGTTTTTCAGACTGGCATTTTACATGTGCTTCACAGAGCACACCTTTCAGCACCCAAACTGTTACAACTATGAGAACTTATCATTGTTTATTATGGTTTTTTTGATTGGACACTAGTCAGTAACTAGCGTAATGTTTCTAGTCCTATCTTCGGTGCAGACTGAATTCTATCAGTCAGCCGTTGAATTGAAAATACGTCCATATCAGGTCTGACTGCAGAAGCTGTGAGTGATGCAAAGACTTGAAAACAAGCTTAACAAAGATTAAACTCGTAATTCGGATACGCTACGTAGATGACACATTCGTATCAATCAAAAGAAACGAGTTGGACAAAACTCACCACCTTATAGTGTTTTCGAAAACATCAAATTCACAAGAGAAGAAAAGTCCTATGACAAAATCCCATTTTTAGACGTCTTAGTCATGCAAACAACCATAGGAAATTTAGAAACTCAATTTTATAGAAAATCAACTCACACAGATCAAATACTCAATCCTAACAGCAAAAATCCATTGATATAAGAATGAAACTTGTGCACTGTGTTAGAGTATAATTCCATTGTGGGTATATCTTATTCTGATAAAGTCTCACAGTGTTATACAGTAATATGGTTTTGTTAAGTTAATTAGCGTGGTAAGCTAGTTAACAAACCAAGCTTCTGTTCAGATTGGGTATAGGTATATTTGGTGGTACTGGATTGTCTGCTTACAATTTTTAGGTGGATCTAGGTAGTTATTTACATTCAAAACTGCACTGTGAAAACTCAAATTTTTCTGACACATAAACCTTTTGTTCATTTATATATTTGTAGACGTACTGGACGTGCAGGTCGCAAAGGTTTTGCGTACACATTTCTTACTCCTGATCAAGAACGCAATGCTGGTGATGTTGTTCGTGCATTTAAACAAAGTGGCCAGAAACCTCCTGAAGCTTTAATGAATATGTGGAATGCTTACAAGATTCGGATGGAAAGTGTATGTTTCTGTCTTTCTTTTGATATCTTATTATTATAGGTTCATGTAAAATGTGGGGATTTGTGAAATAGTTTTTTTAATGACTTTTGCCAAAATCGTTATTGGTAATTATTTCTGCAACAAATAAAGTTACTCACCAAAGCAGTATACTATTCATTATCAAGTATTGAGATTTGTGAAGTATCATAGAATCTTGTTCTGGCAAACAGATTTTTGACAAGTACTATACTTTTTTTCTTACTTCTCTGGCATTCATCTCTTCAAAGTAGAAAATGTCAGCCATATTTGGAAGATATATTTTCATTAGAGAACACTTTCTTATATCTTGTTATCTCTGAACTATTTGTTTGAATTTTGCTGTAGCTTGAAAACTAAGCATTACTAAAAAGCTTTTTTCGCTCTGTTATGTTATTAGGAAGGCAAAAAAGTCTACGGTTCTTCGGGATTTCGTGGTAAAGGATTCATGTTTGACGAAGTGGAGGCTCAACTGAATAGTGAAAAGCGTCGCCTACAAAAAGCTGCACTCGGTTTACAAGATTCAGATGATGAAGACGGTGATGGTAATGTTGACTGGGATTCGAAAATTGAAGATATGTTGGCTACAAAAACAAAAATCAAAGATGTAACAAAAAGTAGCACAACAGAAAATATTTCTGGTAGTACAGAAGTTAGGTAAGTTAAACTTTTTATACACATTTATCGATAAACTCTTGTGGCTTACCCACTAACAAGTGCTTCATTTAGGGTCCATTGGATTTCCAAACTAAAAAAGCAAGAAAAGGAGTTTATTCCATGTTTTGAAGATCCATTGTAACATTTATTCGACGTAAAGACGGGTCACACAAAATCAAATGCAATAATTCTGTTCCATTCATTTTTATCTATCTCTCGTATATAGCCTAAAGTATTGCGCCACTTGTGTTCCTTCTATGTTTAGCCGAATGATTACAAGAGAAGTAATCAGGTTAAAAAATGGTGATGTAATCTGTAGAATTAAACACTCGACTAACTGATGCTATAAACTAATTTCACCTTTGTCGACGAATTATTGCTGTTAGTGCATTCGACAAACTGATATTAGTACTTATACCATTTTCGTTTGTTGTTTCCAGTTTGGATAATAATAAGGTGTTCGATAATTTAAAGACGATGAAATTGAGTGTAAACGATGATGAAACAATCAGGATGGCTTGCGCATGAAAATTCTCGTAAAACCAGAAACCTCACTTTTCAGATTCACCTCCTTATCCACTGATGTATTATTTGTGCTTTAATTGAAAATGTAGTGTTTCCATTTGTTAATTTTTATGTTCTTTGCGTTTAGTGCTCAAGCTGGTCAGGCTGTCGTGAACGCAGCTTTAGCACTTGCCCGTCAAAAAGCTGCACAGCTAGGACTTGTTAAAAATTTGACTGTTGGTGCTCCAACCACTCTTCAGGCAACGACAACAACAACTCCGAGTGCCAGCGACCCCACCGCTGTCAATACAGCCGCAATTGCAGCCGCTGCATCTATACCGATACCTCCTGCTCTAACAAGTCGTACATTGGCTGAACAAGCTGCTGAACGTCTAAATGCTAAACTAGGTTACAACAAACAAGGGCAAGCCTCAGGTGACGAGGAAAACACTGCAAGTAGCGCTGCTGCCGGTAGTGACATAATTAGACGGTAAGATTTTTTCCACGGTATCTAAAATATTCGGTTAACACATTTCATAGTATGATGGAACATTTTTGGAAAATTGTTCAAATCATTCATCTTTCCTTTCATACTTTTCACTTTTCATCATTTTTAAGCTGTATTTATACGAACTACTACTTCCCATTTAAAAGATAAAAACATCCATACTATCTGACAGCATATTGAAGTTCAAATTTATTCAAAGTTTATCTTATCTTTATCCATTTCGGAGCAATGGACTCATCAACCAAAGATGCAATAACAACTTTAAAAATCTGAAGGTGTTTTATGTAGCCTCGTTGACTTTTGTCTGAGATTACTGTTAATTTACACACCCTCGCATTCTTGTGATAATGTAAGGATTCTCAAAATACTGCCCTTGAAAATAAAGAACAGTGGAGTGTCAAAATTGAAATTGTATGTTCACCATCTGTTTGAGTTTAAATTCTATCCAATCAGTCTAGATTAATTCGAAAGTGTACTAAAAATTATCTTACATTCTAAGGAAGATCGAGTAGGTCAGGATAATCTAGAACTTTATTCAATGGTAAAGAAATATCTCGGATACGGCTATAGCCTTTCAAGGAAAGCGCCTAGCATTGCCTGAAACTGTTGGATACATTTAAACCGTGTGTGATATTCATGGAGGAAATTGCGCGAATTAGCTTTGCCGTCAACTGACTCGTTCTTGCTTAAACCTTCATTCAAGCAATGGTTGCCTGAGTCACAAGACATTGTAACTGTATCAATATGAGGGGTATTAATCTACATGGATATTTACTTCGGTGACCGAAATCCTAGTCATTTGGTTTTGCTTTTTTGTAATTGTAGGTACGAGGAAGAGCTGGTCATTAATGATTTCCCTCAAAATGTCAGATGGCGCATAACAGGCCGTGAAATGCTAACTCACCTAAGCGACTACTGTGATGTCGGTGTTTCTGTACGAGGAGTATATATGTCACCTGCCAAGGCTAAGCAGCATATACCAGAGGGTTCTGACGACAGACCGCTTTATTTGTGTATTGAGGCTGTAAACGAAAGGCAGGTCGCCCTAGCTAAGAAGGAGATTATGCGCATTATCAAAGAAGAATTAGTAAAATTGGTAAGCGTTAACATTTTCATGTATTTTATCATTCCTCGATGTTTGATAGCCAATTTATTTGTCTTTGTGCTAGGAATAAAAGTAATTTTATGTATTGCCTAGCCTACACCTGTGTCACTATTTCAAATGAATTAATTAATTTGTATAGTACTTGAAATCAAGAATAGTCAATAAATACAAGCTTTCTATTGAAATCATGTGAAATAGATCAGTATATCGTGTATGTATGTAATTGAAAGGAGGCTTTGTTTAATTTCTTTAGAATATGAGGTTTTCTTCGGAACTGTTAGTTGAGAAGAAAAATCTGAAATAATCAGTATTACTATAAAGTAAATAAAACGTTCTGGGATTCAAACTCCACGCTTAGTTTTTGTACTTGACTTCGTTGATGTATTCAGCGAATCTTATATAGGGAATTAAAAATTTTAGAAACAAGACATTTTAATAATCCTACTTTGAATCACTACGCTACACACACAAGGAATTGTCTTGCTCCTACGCAAAACCATCATCAATGATGAGTACTGTTTGCAGGTGAAGTAAATTAGAATGCACTTTGTATTCGGTTCGCCTTTGCCGAATACAATGCTACGTGACTCGATTTCATTGAAGTTAGGAAAGTGAAATTGTTTGCTTTGTTGTCCACTTCACTTTTGTGCGAAGTCTATTTAAACGTACTTTAGAACACCTTGAGTTGTAGTGAGTTCACTACAAAAGTTAATTAGTTCCAGTTTTCAATTATTCATCAGCTTATATTAAATTAACCCGATTATTGAATAGTTAGAAGTCATCAAGATATAAGCCATAATTATTATCATGTTACGGCTGATATTACTACTCAATTGTTCAGACTGAAGTGAAGGTTCTGTATTTGGATCCAGGGTCATTTGGCTGAAAGTCGAGTGCTTACTGAAGTGTGTAACACTTAGGGATTAATTGGGTCAACTAATTCAGATATTACGGCGTTAAACTACTAAATATGTTAGATGTCGACTTGTATAGTACGAGCTTTCAGAAGTTTGAGTTTGTAGAGCACTGGAGTTTTACTCAGTTTCAGATAAGTAACGTGCTAAACGTTGTGCGTCGGTGGCAGAGTGGTTAGGACGCTCGCCGGCCATGCACATGGTCCGGGGTTCGATCCCCAGCCGACGCACTCCTTTACGTCGCTGAACCAGAAATAATGCTGGTAAAGAGGAAAGGTTGGGCATGAGGCTAGCAACCCCATCCTGTAAAATAAGCACTGCTACAGAAACTTCAAGCCACTAGCTTGAAGCCCTATGTTCCACTGGGGAACGTGAAGAAAATAAAAAATAAAAAAACGTGCTAAACGTTAGATGTAACGATCCCCGTTTAGATACTATAAGGGAATATATACTCATATTGCAAATGTTAAGACGTAGAATTATTTATAAGCATGTTTTTACTTATGTTTGATAACTATATCTTTCCGTAACATAAATTAATTCTCATCTTTCAATGCTTGTGTCCGTTCTTTTTCTGTAGCAGTCAGTAAATTCAATTAATCGTGGACGCTACAAAGTTGTTTAATCCAACGTTTACTCCTTTTTTCAGTCAGTTGTACATATTATTTTGATAAAATTATAAATACACTACTTGTTGTTGAATAATGGTCTTTCTTCTAACAAATACCATATAAAGCTTGTGTTTTCTAATCCCATAAGGAGTAGGGACTGGTTTTCTTTACAGTTGTGTGCTACATGGAGTGTGGCAACTTGAACTGGTGCACATCTGTGTAAAGTTCTTCGTCGCAAGTCAGTCAGTTAGCTTATAATGTTTTATTGGTAAAGGTATAGGATTTAATGCACCTTTCAGATACATATAACTGGATACACGAGTCGCGTTTACTTTATTGGCGACCAGGTTTTCTACGTATATGTGCGAATAACATTTTGAAGTTCTGTAGTTTTCCGTGTCTGTCTCATGTATATAAGTTATGGTGCGAACTACTACTAAATTATCTAATTGTTTGACGAGATGTCGGTCACTTCCTTCTCCTCTGAGCCGGGAAGACGTATTTCTGACTATTACTCTCGTGCAATAAACGTGCGAATTCCGATCTAATAACACTCCAGAAGTCTGAAACGTTTTATTATTTCATACACGGATTTTCCTCAATTAATTTGAACAAGGCAATAGCAATACAGCAGAATAAAATAGATTCATTCCGTCAGCATCTCGTCAGCTGCTTACAACCAGAATGATGAAAAAACAGTATCAGTAAAGTTCTGACATGTTTGTCAATTAGAGAAACAAACGCCGGATAGTAATTAAGAATGCTTATGGTTATGTATATCAAGTTAAATTAGTCATGTGTATTAAGTTGCTGTACTTACATATTAATGCAGTCGAAGTTTCAGGAAGGAAGGGTGCAAGATATCGGGGGACATAAATTATAAGATTACGTGGATCTTTGAAAAACGTTAATTTTTTTATTCCTTTACATTCCCAGTGAAACATAGGTCTTCAGGCTAGAGACTTGAAGTTTCGGTAGAAGTGGTGTTTATTCTTACGAGATGGGGTTGCTAGCCTCATGCCAAACCTTCCCTCTTTACCAGTCTTACTACTGGCTTAGCGAGGTAAAGAAAAAAAACATTAATGCACAAATTAAATACTCAGAAAGAATATTGTAGATTCAATTCATATAGGTAGCTATTAGACATATGGAGCCGAGTAAGTTATGTAACTAAGAGAGGAAAGAAATCAGTATTTACGTTAAGTAAAGGATATAATTAATATAGGTCAAAAGCCAACGTAGACAGTTACTACCGCTTATTTTTGAATACACAAGTCGGGTTTCAGCCTTTTGATGCCTGCGAAATACAAGTGACTTCAAATTGCTAAATTTTGTTTCTTGAAGATATTCAAGATGCTTACCTTATGTTCTATGTCAATCAGATATCTTGTGAATTTTCATCGCAAACGTGGTATGTGTTTAGAAAGTCTAAGTTGGAACTCGCCTTCAATTCTTTTGATGTATCTACTTAGACAGATACACGTGAATTCATTATCACTGTCGCCTCAGGACTCCTTGCATTCACCGGTAAACCTTGTGAGTATTTCTGAAATTTCGCCGTATTTGCTCCGAAAATCGGACGTTGTTTGATACCACCATCTTATTCTATAGGAAGTTGATCACAGAAGTTCTCTTACGGATCCGAAAGCTGAATCTGTATGTCCTCAGAACCAAGGGTATTTTAATCATCGCACATAATAGTACACAACCCAAATGACTCGGACTTAAACATATTTCCTTAGGGGCACTGTTGTACCCCTAGGGGTATTCCTAACAGAATTGCTCAGCAGAGGAAAGCAAAAAGGGTGCGTTATAATTTCCGTTTGTTTTATCTACTCATCTTGTCTTCCCTTCTACTGGCTTAGGACTCCTGCCTCTAGTCTCTGTCTACCTATCTAAAGGATTGCTGGGGAAATCAGATCTGCAAGTTCCAGCAGCACTAGTGTACTATCACAAGCCTGATGTTCCTTCAAGATAGTGTACGCCATCTTCTTGCTTCCAGTATAGCTGCAACTGTTGAGGTGATGGAATTTTGGTATTGCAGTCCACCAAACCTTTGAGAATATTCCGAAATAAAAAGAAGCGAGTGCCGATAAATATTATGGAAAATATATTCGATATCATATTCCAGAGTGTGACTAGCAGATCGGGTGCTGATCAATCCTGTGTTATGAAGAATATTTGTACTGGGTATCTGTCTATGTACCACCATTCCCTAACTGGGGTCAAAAATATCCACAAGCTTGTTCGGTCATCTGATTTCACTAAGCTACCACATATAGTGAAGACAGATATGTTATATCGAAGATGCTCTCATATATATCTCACCTTTTATCGTCCATAACTGTTAACAGATCTACATTTCTCAAAATTGTCAGATGAGTAAACCTCTATTTCCCATAATCTGAGAAAAATAACAAGTGACATCACAGGCCAGGCTATCGCGCGAGTGGAACCCCAATGGGAAGTGGCGAGTTTTTATTTATTATTTTTTCATTAACAGCTTGATGCCACACCGTATTTTAACTACAAGTATGGCATTTTCAGCATGGATATCGGTAGCCCAAATTTTGCAGGCCGACCATAGATATCGGGTGTGCGTCGGCAGCGGAACGAACCCCGGAGCATGTGCATGGTCGGTGAGAGTCCTAACCACTGTGCCACCGTCGGTGGGGGGGGTCACACGGAGGAGGTCATGTGAAGAGGAGATAAAAGCATGTGGGCAGACGTGGAGCCAGGTGAAAACGTTGGCAGAGAACCGAACGCAATGGGGACGTGCGTCTGAAGCCTTATTTTCCTCTGAGAACTAAAGGAAACAATAATAATAATTATTATTATTCTAACTGAAAATTATCACGCAGCTCAGTGTACCTACATAAAATCAGACTAGAAAGAAACAGCATAACCGAACAAAACAACTATTTGGTCGTATAAAAAGCAAGTAATTGTTACGAAGTCGTTGTTTTCAAGTGGAGGAATCATGAGATAAAAGTGTATCAAATGATAGTCGGCGGTTAATGGAATATCTTCAGATCAGCATGCCCATCGAAACCGTAGATCTATACATTACTAGCATAGGAAACTATTTCCCCAATAAAATTGTTGTCAAGTCCTGAGAATGTGAAGAGCCCTTATGAAAGTACTTTGACAAGGTGTTCCTTGTATTCTTTGCTGGTGAGCTTAACTACTCGTACCCTTAAAAAAGCTATATACAATGCCGTATTCCAGGTAGTCATGCATCTTAACGCCCTTAGCTATTTAAGCCAATGACTGGATAATTGAGTAACAAGGTGTTATACTTCGATGATTTTGAGTATATAGACATAGAAATTTAGCAGCACAATGGTATTCATAGACTGAAAACGGGTCGGCTATATTCGTGTCTGTATACCTTGCCTTGAGTCAGTTACCTTCTTCTCACTTATTCATTGTTAAGTAATTTTACTGACATTCATGTCTTTATTTTGTTATCGTTTCTAGAATGTTATGCAATTACTTTTATTCCAACTTTCTGTTCCTCTTTCCCTAATTCATTTGTTCGCTAGCAATCAAAAAGGGCTTCCGGATGACAAAGTAGACTCCGATCTCAGCAGTAACACCAGCCTAGAGCAAAACTTGAAGTCTCACACAAAACAGATCATCACTCAATCACCCTCTGAATTTAACACAACTACAACAGGCTAGGAGATACTTTCTTTGTAGTGGGTTCCAAATTAGGACTCGGGCTGTTCCTTGAAATATACAGACTAGCCGCAAGAAGTTGACAGGTTTATGCACCCTGATCAAAATGTTTGGTAACAGATATGAAGGAGACCTAGTAATCAAAAAAGTATATTCATATTTATAAATAAGACCAAAAGCTATAGGGCTGATAGACAAGTGACTGAGGGATGCAAGCCTATTCATTGGATTTTGCTCCTTGCTGACGCCACAATACCTATCAGTGTCACGCACCTACTCAACCATCATGATATGCTCTTAAATGTTCTCGAAAGTATTCTGGTAAATGGTCCCTTTAGACTGTCTATTAATGGCATCACCTACAGAGGTCACAGCTTATCACTGGTTAAGATAGTTGATCCAACTTTTCAGCCGGTTGTTGACAAGTACTCGGGTTAGAACTGCCCGTCTTACCATCTGCCGTGCATAACCAGCAATGTTACGCATCACATAACAACCCCAGTTAAACCCACGACATCTGAGGCACGACTATGTGCTCCTGACAAACCTCGACTGGCAAGAAATGAATTCAACCATGTGCTCACACTTGGTATCATTCGGCCATGGAACAGCCCAAGGGGATCCCAACTTTATATAGTACTGAAGAAGGATAGCAACGACTGGCAACCCAATGGTGATTACCGGCGAGTGAACGCTGAAACTAGCCCTGATTACTAATTATTGCCTCACATACATGACTTGGTGGCAACATTATGTGATGCAACTATTTTTTCGAAGATAGACTTGGTTTAAATCAAACAACCAAACGCCGATGGCACCAGAGGATATACCGAAAACAGCTATCATTATGTCTTTCAGACTGTTTGAATTTCTACGTATCCTATTTGATCTCCGGAATGCAGCACAAACATTCCAACACCTAACTGACGAGGTGTTTCGTCGTCTTGACTTTTTATTCGCATACAGAGACGGCTACCTCATTGCGAGTACGCACAAGGAAACTCACCTTAGACACTCGGGTTTGGCATTCAAAACGTTATGCCGACATGATGTTACCACTAATATTCAAAAGCCTCAGATGGGAATACAATCACTCGACTTTCTCTATCACAACATTGACTGCAAGGGTATCTGCCCACTGACTGTAAAACTTGAGGCGATTCCTTACTTTCCAGAGCCACAGACAGTGAAAAGTCTTCGCACTTTCAACGCTTCATTCCTAACTGTGCCACCAACAGACCTTCTTCTAGGAAATAACAAGTCCATCGAACCTGACGAGTCATGTTAAAAGAGATATTGCGGATTTTACTCTTCTTATGTATCAGGATGCAAC